ATATTCTTGGGAAGACCGTTCCTGTAGAATGGGTTGACTTAATCGCAGTCGGGCAGAGTATCTGGATTGGATCTCTTCTTCCTCCCCCCGTCTTCCCGGTACCAACCATATTTATATGGTCGGTACTCCACTATGTAAATTAGGTGGATCGTACCACAACAATATATATATACATATATATGTGCACACACACACACACACACACACACACACACACACACACACATATATATATATATATATATATATATATATATATATATATATATATATACATGTACACACCTTGTAGAAGCATAGTTGCTTTCTTAGGAATGTGAATCTCATCTCTATTGCTGATGTTCCCAGGTCTACCCTGAGCCCGGGTGGTAGCACCTGCTAGGGTCCAAGCTATGGGCAAATAGTTAACCCCCACAAAACACAATAAAAGATTTTGAAAAAAAAAATCATCAGCAATAAAAATCACGCCATTAAATAACGTACTGAGGCTGATATGCCGTTAAAGAAAACAAACCAAACCAATCCAGCTGTCTGTATTACTGGTTCCCATGTTGTATTAATACCTATGTTTGGCCGGCTTAGAAGATCTTTGTGGCCTAGCATTTACGCCGATTCCTTAAGTTTTCGTTCTCTGTCTGTTATTTCAACTTCATCCCACAGAGGGAGATTTTTTTCTATCCGTATATGATCAGCCATGCCTAATTTTTCTATTTCCTCTCGTGTTACAAACTTACGGTTTTCCTACAATCTCTTCTCAAGGGTGTGGCCTGTTTCGCCCTTATGTTTCTTACCACAGCTACACGAGTTGGTGTACACACACTCCTTAATCATGTTCTCCTCTAAGAGATGTCTGCGTAGGATTGAACAACCCTGAAGATAATCCTTATGCTATATGGACCACAGGAATTTTGTGTCTTTTCCGATAAGCCCTTCACATAGGGTAAGCAGACTAAGTTTTTTTTTTGTGTGTTGCTATCGTCTTGTACCGTGTTATCCCAGATTAGTTGTTATGTTATAGGGTACTACTTACACTAACTTTGTAGACTACTGCTTATACTAGCATTCCTGGATGTACTAATATCTTGAACAGAGCATAGGTTCAAGACATCCCTATACCGCAAGCCAATATTCACCGGATAATACTTCAGCTTCGACTCTCACCATCCATACAGTGTAAAGAAAAGGATCATCCGCTGCCTCCAGCATTTAGTAAAAGTCATAAGTGGTGGCCAAGAGACACAGATGAATAAGAAATACTCAGTATGTAGGGTATCTTGACTCCATTGACACTATCTGACACACTCAATATTGAATATTGCTGTCACATCAGGTCTCGTACTTCTTCTATTTCTTTAGAAATTCTTAATAAAATCACCAAAATAATCTGCAATGTAATCGGTCATGACCTAGCATCTCGGATTAAGCACCTTTCCCGCCGGCGTAATTTCGCTTCCCTGTGCTTTTTCTATAAACATTTTCATAGTAATTTTTCCGATAAGCTTTCCTCTTTGGTATCTCCATTTTACGAATTTCACAGATGTAAAGACTTGAAGCAATGGATATGTGGCTCTACAGAAGGATGCTGAGAATACCATGGACTGGATATATAAGCAATGCTTTAGAGAAAATGAAAACAAAAAGGGCACTTATACTTAATGTTATGGTCCCGGTTAGGACCAAGGAAGAACAACACGAACACAAGAGTAGAAATAACGAAGGTATATTACACGAAATAATAATACAAGATGTGGAAGGTGTTAGTATGACTGTCAGTCTGGTTTGGAGTGAACTACTATCGGCTCGACTCGATTCGATATCTAGCCCCCCCCCCCTCTACGAGGGTTGCATATGGCACAAGGCCGAGTTTAATGGAGGTTTCACCAGCCCATAGGTTCGGCCAAAAAAAATGCCCGTAGAACCCGTATAAACGGGATCGAGTTGGTCAACCTCACCGAACGAGCCTCGTCCGGGTTCCTCTCTGCTCAGAGGCAGATAGTTCGACCGTCAAGCCGAGAAGCTCGGCTCAATTCGACCCTCTCTCTTGAGAGGCATAGTATACATAGTGTTAGGAAGAGTTCATTCTATAGGTATAGGTAAGGACCCATGACACTTAACATCAAAATTCTAGGTCGCATTATGAGGAAAGTCGTCTTGGAAAATTTGACACACACTGAACCCATTCAAGGCAAGTAAGCAGGACAGAGTAAAGCAGTGTATAAAATACCTAACAAACTTGCGTAAACAGATAGCAGAACAGGAATTAGGAGAGATAACGAAAAGAAAAAATACTATGAGCTACAAAGAACAGGAAGTTGTCGAAAGCCATTATCTCTTACATTCTAAAACGGCACAACACATCAAAGAAGACTAGATTAGCTCATAGTAAACATCAGTTCACAGTTGAAATGGCTAATGTAACCGTGAGCCCAATGCTAACAATTTCTTCTCGTACACTTCTCGTTTGTGAACCTTTCTTCCGGGTCCTTACAAAACTCGCTTATGGAACTATCTTATGGAAATCTCTTCCGGTTTCTTGCTTTCCACTCAAGTTTGATCCTAAAAAATGTAAATGCAATGTCAGTCGTTAACGTCTGTTTTCTTAATCCCTGTTCTTTTATTGTTCTCTCTCCTTAATAATGATTTTCTTTGTCTCATATTCTTTCACACTCCGTGAAACTTGGCTCTTAGTGGTTTTATTGCGTCGCTTCTCGGAAAAATAATTCGTTTACCATTGATATTTTGAAAGCATTTATTAAATCCTTTCGAAAAGAATTGTTTTTTACATCTTGAATAATTATCATAATTATTATCTATCCAGAAATGGGTAATTTATGTCCGAATTTCTGGAATGAGGATTTATCATTATTTACATTATTTGCATTCAGTCTATTGTATAGCCTAGTGGAATAAATCGTTGGTTCGTAAATTTGGTGACATATTAATTGTGAGTTTAATCCCCTGGGCCGGGCAGTGAGTACTTTGATTAAGAGAAAACAAGGCGAGCAGTACCTAAACAATACCAAAAAAAAAAAAAAAATAATTAAATAAATTCGACAAGATATCATTACACATGGGTTAGTGGAATGAAAACAGGGTCCAGTTCAAAATTCATTCTAGGTTGCCTCGGGTCGATATATACCTGAGGAAAGGTGGAATGACATAACAGCCGGAATGATGTGTCGTTTAGCGGCATATCAACACCTTATGGGTCATTTAATATCGAAATTTAGTTTTCATGGGAGTATTAGAAATTTCTTTTACAAAATGCATTTCTGGTAATGTTTTTGAAAAATGCATTGCTGGTAATATTTTTTCTTTATAAAAACGTATTGCTGTTATATATATATATATATATATATATATATATATATATATATATATATATATATATATATAACAGCAATACATTTTATAGTAAAAAAAAAAAATACATTCTCATTGTAATATATATATATATATATATAACAGCAATACATTATATATATATATATAATGTATTTTTGTTATATATATATATATATATATATATATATATATATTACAATGAGAATGTATTTCTTTTTATACGATAAAAATGTATTTTTATACTTTCACTAGCAGCCATGACCCCACAAAAAAGCGTTCAATTAGAATGGAGCAAAACAGCATCATGTTTAGATGTAACACAGCCTAACTTCTTCGATTACTTTAAAGTACTTTCATTAAAAACATTTTGAATTTATGCATTTACTGATATAACAGAAATAGTCTGTATTTATTCAATCAAAGTTAGCTGAGGACATGAAGGGGTAAACAGGCAACATGAAGACCCACTTCAGACCACAATTATTTTGGAGTTTTTGAAACTCAGTTTGTGAGTGTGCTACCAGGGATGGAAAGGAGGATACATTTATAATTTATGCATTTGTTAAGTTTGATGAAAATTGGTTGAAAGATCAACGAAAACTAAGAAAGAAAGTAGTAAAAGTCGCCATTTTTCGCTATTTACGTGGGTTTTCACTATATGGGTGGATCAATTATCAAGTAAATGACCATTAAACAATCAACTCATTGTTGGCTATAACTGAGTGAAGTCTGTATTAGATTGCTTGAAAATTGAGGGGGTTTTTTGTTTAAAATTTGTGTTCGAATAAATTTGTTTTGAAATCGATTTGTATTGAAATCGATTTTCGTTTTTCGCTAAACGCAGCGGCGTAGAAATACAACTGATGTCTCGTTGAGCTCGTCATGATGTAAATAGCCTACCTACTGAGTTTGAACGAAATCGGAGGAAAAAAGTTGAATTTATCGATTTTTGATCGGCATTACCGATTACTAATTTTTTATAAATTATACGTTTTTTGCGCTAAGAACCTATCTCTTACACTGTACAATGTATGTGCCAAGTGTGGTCAAAATCGGTTGGATAGATCTTAAGTGAAAAGCTATCACACACATCAGATAGACAGACACACAGACATCATCTGTTTTATATATATAGATAGATCAGAGGCTTCGACGCCGGATGTAGTTTATTGTCATACCCGGGACAACAGAATATTTTGATGACAATATTTCGAATGTAAATATCGTAAATACGGAAAAAAGTTTCATTAAACCGGAAATGAATTTCGTCTGAATCTCTTTGTTTTCACTAAGCATCAAAGACCTAAAAAAAAGCAAACGGCATGACACCAATTCTCCCTACATACTGTCCACACAGTATCATGACTAAAGAGTTTCTTTCTCTTGATCGTGATGTGTACTTGATGAAAAAGAAAAAAAAAAACAACAACTCTACCATTGTTAGGCAAAATTGGATTAATAGTTAAATGCTGTTACACTTATTAGTCTCTTTCACAGGAGCCAGACGTATCTTGTAAAGTTATGTCTGATCTGTTGCTTTGATGTAAGCTGTTTCTTTATTTATTCTAGAGACCAATTCTATCTGGGATAATATTAATGAACTCAACATATGAATAATTTTAGGTAATATAAATATTTGGGAGGATATTTGTCAGTCAGTCAGTCTGTTTATCTATCTATCTATCTATCTATCTATCTATCTATCTGTTTAGTTCAATCTCTATCGTAGTATATCCTTCCGTTGGCATTTATCTATCTCTCTATCTATTGCAATCTCTATTTCTGTCTATCATAGTGTATCCTTCTGTTCGCATCTATCTATCTATCTATCTATCTATCTATCTATCTATCTATCTATCTATCCTAGTCTGTACATATCTATCTGTCCTAGTCTGTACATATCTATATCTATCCTAGTCTGATTCATATCTATCTATCTATCTATCTATCTATCTATCTATCTATCTATCTATCTATCTACCACATTCTGTTAATCCCTCTCTTTCCATCTATCACATTCTGCTGATGTCTATATTTCAATCTAACTCCGTCACGTCATGTATATCATTTTTGTTTTAATTTTAGTTTGTATCTATCTGTCTTTTCATATCTATTTATTTTAATACACACACGCGCGCGCGCGCAAAACACACAGACACACACACACACACACTATATATTCTATTGACAATAAACTAATGAAATACGCTTCTTGTCTAGGGGTCTTACGTATAATACGAACGAAATCTCTTTCTGGTCACGTAATCTCAACTGGGGTTTCTATCGATTAGTTATGAATCAAAGCGGTACAGGAAGTGGCCATTACATTATCGCTTAGTGCATGCTGGGTAGGGTAACGATCGGTTACTCATTCTCTTCTTTTTTCTTTTGTTACTTTCACAATCTGCTAGAAAGTCAACGGACTAAAGATGCTAACCATTTTACAGTCCTCACTTTTCATGCATTTCTGAGAGTATGTCATCTTGTGTACACTGTGATGTCTTGGTGCCAGACTAGCAAATAGGTGCATTCTAGGCGTCAACCAGACATAATTTTTCATCAAGATTGAATATAAATCCGATTCCTTGTCGGCCCCATCGCTACGAACTGACTCCGTCAAAAGCATATCAAATTGTTATCCGTGATGATTGTATATTAAGCCCAAACACTTTTTCGGTACTTAGTGAAAGGCATGATGTCTTTTTATAGTATTTTTCATCCAATACAAACCCAAATAGAAGTTCAAGATGAATGGGGATTACGACTATATAATGATGAAAGTTCCCGTCCGATGAGCGATTTTAAACAACGTATGTAACACCGGTTCTCGAGCGACCACCGATGTTAAACAACGCCGACCTTGGTCAGTATGCAGTCATATCACGTTGGAACACCGGTCAGTCGGCAGATGGGTGTCCGCTTGGCAATACTAAATGTTGTTAGCTCACATGTGCTGATCGTATAACGGGCTTACAACCATATCACGTTAAAACACCGAGCGACAACCGATGTTAAACAACGCTGGCCTTGGTCAGTATGCAGATGGGTGTCCACCAGGCAATACTAAATGTTGTTAGCTTAGTTGTGCTGATCGTATAACGGGCTTATAGCCACATTACGTGGACACACCGGTTCTTGTGAGATCGCCGACGTTAAACAACGCCGATCTTGGTCAGTATTCAGATGGGTGTCCGCTTGGCAATACTAAATTCGATTAGGATAGATGTGCTGATCTCATAACGGGATTACAGCCATATCACGTTGAAACAGCGGTTCTCGAGCGACCAACGATGTTAGAAAACGCCGAACTTGGATAGTAAGCAGATAGGTGTCCACCAGGCAATACTAAATGTTAGCTCAGATGTACTGATCGTACAGCCATATCACATTGAAACACAGGTTCGCGATCGACCACCGATGTTAAACAACGCCGACCTTGGGCAGTAGGCAGATGGGTGTACACCAGGCAATACTAAATGCTGTTAGCTCAGATGTGCTGATCGTATAACAGGATTACAGCCACATCACGTGGACACACTGGTTCTCGTGAGATCGCCGATGTTAAACAACGCCGACCTTGGTCAGTAGGCAGATTGGTGTCTGCTTGGCAATACTAAATTTCGTTAGGATAGATGTGCTGATCTCATAACGGGATTACAGCCATATCACGTTGAATCACCGGTTCTCGTGAGATCGCCGACGTTAAGCAACGCCGACCCAGATCCGACCCAAGAAAGGTGGTCGCTTGGGAAATACCATGTGCTATCAATTTGGAACTGGGTGATCTGTGCTCCAATTCTACTCGTGTTCAGTATATTCGCATACGCACAAATGGGATAGGTATGAATCCAGCTCTCCCATCCATCTCTCCCATAATTAGAAGGACTTTAAATCTGTAAATCATTATTATATCTCTCTAAATATTCTTACAATAGAAAAATACTTCCAGGCTTTATATAACCTGGAAAAGGTTGATAAGCCATAAAAAACAAACCAATCAAAGCGAAGCTTAATGGATGAATTAGTTTTATGTAAGGAATAAGAATTGGGCAGAAGGATATGTAGGATAGACAAGGGTTGACCCTAGACTTGAAGATGTTAATATTGTAGTGTTAAAACTGTAGTATAGTTGTCTATCGTAAACCTTGTTCCACCATCCATTTACTTAAGTTATCTAGGTAGGTCATGCTTTGTATTTCTCTGTTCTGCTTGTTTTCAATCTGTACTGTGAGTATCACATTTTCCAAGCCCACTTTCCTCTATTACAGTGAAAATTAATAATAATAAATTCTTGTATAAGTTTATTTCCATTTTATGTTCCTAAGGCATCCCCAATAATGTAAGTGCTGAGGAGGTTTAACGGCAATTTTACACGGTATTTTGCCGTTAAGCACACTTTAATCATTGTCCTTGTGTCGCACTGGGTAGCGACGTGGGCACTCTGGTAAATACCTCCATCTTATGTTTGCCGTTTTTAGGGGAAGCGTTTTCGCTGTCATGATTTCGTTTTTTTTGGATAAAGCATTTTAAAAATATTCCCAGCGCACTCTTTTGTTAACGCTACAAATGTATCTGAAATATATACTCTTATATATTGCTTGTATGGTCAACTTCTTTAAGAAGAAGAAACATCACTACACGCATGATGAAATCAATAAAGGCCAGAAGGAAAATATTAAATTCGTGACACGTTTCGCTCAGCGACAAGCTTCATCGGAATTTTGAATTCAGAAGTCCTAAGAATTTTATAAGTTTGTAAATTATTGGAAACTACAAACTCATACAAAAGGTAGCAAAGGAAAGAGAGAAGAAAGGACTAAGTATAAACTCCAAGAAGACAGAATATATGGTTATCAGTAAAAGGATGAGCCCAAAATGCAAATTACAAGTCAGGGATACGAAAATCAATCAGTTACATAAATTTAAATATATGGGAGGTGTTTTCTAAACGTAATAAATGTAAAATCTATCCAATGATTTTTGTTGGGAGCGCTTTTTGCTAAACGGCCAGTCATTTTTTTAAGTTTATGTTTGTTATATTACTATTAAAAAAAATGTAAGTGCTGTTGGAGAGGGTATGCATGTTACTAAATGTAGATATATAATTAATTTTCAAATACGGCCAGTACATTAATCTTAGTAAGAGTTGGATATACACAAACCCACACTCAAACCTATATATATTGGCACGTCTATGTTCCGGTTTACCATGACATGGAAAAATAACTCCCCCACCTCCACCCTCTGAGCTTCTTTTTCTATTTAGCATAGATCTGACATGTAATTGGTTAATCAAGACATACTCACAAGGTTATTTTTTATTTATTTCTGATCTTATGCCCCCACCACTTTTAACTGTCGGGAAAAAGGTAACAGTTTGTTTTTAAATTTAATCATTTAATCACAAGTTACTTACGACCGCCTGAAGAAATACAAAATATTCAAACATGAAAGCTTTTGTGCAGCGATTTCAACATGTTTTTATTATAATCATACTTATTATAAAACCCAGGTTGTGTGTGTGTGTGTGTGTGTGTGTGTGTGTGTGTGTGTGTGTGTGTGTGTGTGTGTGTTCTTTTATATATTGGATCGGATTTCCTACATTTTTCAACCGATTTCAACGAAACTTCACAGGACTACGTAAAATTACCTTGTGGAGGATCTGACAGCGCCAAAAATTGAAAAAAACACAATTGTTTTTGCACGAAATCAATTTAAAACACGATTAAGAGGCATCGCTGTCGCGAGAATGAAAGGGGGACAACTCATATCGAGTTATACTTATTATAAAACCCAGGTTGTTTGTGTGTTTGTGTGTGTGTGTGTATTTTCGTTTATATATGGGATCGGATTTCCTACATTTTTCAACCGATTTCAACAAAACTTCACTTTTTTTGGCAGGTAGTGTTTCTTATTGTCTTGTACACTTTTTTCTTTATTTTTGCATTCAGAATGCTTTAAAAATTCCATTTACAAGACAATTGTTTATAATAAAATTCTATTCAATCGGTAGACTCATAACGATTGAAAACAATGTTTTTGTTTGAGTTTGGGTTTGACCAATTCGTAAAAAAAAAAATAATAATTAAGACATGTGTGTCCGTCAACCTTAAACAATAATCTTTGTCAATTTTATTTTTCAGTCTTTATGATGGTCGATACTTGATTTATCTCTTACTGTTACATCCCCGGGCAATGCCGGGCTCTACTGCCAGTCTCGTATAAAAATTATATATATATAGCTATATATATATATATATATGAATGACCTTCCTGAGGATATCATTTCAGAAGTTGATATTTATGCTCATGACAGAACCGTTTACTCCTATGTCGATAATAAGTTTGATCAATTTGATAAGGTCAAATTGGCAGCTGACCTAAAAATGACATGCAGTTTGTTGTTAACTGGGACAAGCAATGGCTTGTTAATTTTAAAGCTTACAAAACGAAACTTCTCTCTATCAATCGCCTGAAATACCCCTTCCTGTCTCCCATTAGCATGGCTAATGCTAACCTCCATGACAGTGATTCGTTGCGGCTTCTCGAACTAGCATTCACGGCTGACATGAAGTGTAAGAATTATATCGAAACAATTGCTAGATCTGCTACTGAGAAAGTTGATTCACTGTGTCGTGCTAGATATTTTTCCTCTCTTGAGTCTATCTTACATGTTTATAAGTTTACTATACGTCCATGATTTTAATATTGATGCCACCGGTACTCCTGTTGTATATTTAGAGATTTTTGATAAAATCTAAAGGATGATATGCAATATTATTGGTCTTGACCTGGCGTCTCGGCTTCTGTCACTTTCTCACAGCCATAAAATTGTTTTCCTGTGCCTTTTCTACAAATAGTTTCATCGTAATTGTTCAGATGAGCTATTTGCTATGATAGCTAGACTTTATGAATTTAATCGTAATCCTAGGTTGGCGCCAAGGTCTCAACAGTTCACATATGAAACCGTAAGTTCTATACTAACAATTCCTTTTCTCGCACTTCTCGCTTGTGGAACTCTCTTCCGGCTCCATGTTTTCCAGTCAACTTTGAACCTCA